GTTCAATCATCTCTATATCAACTAGTTGATTGAGACGATTCATTAGCGTCTTGCATGTCTCGTAGTTTGAGACATAGACAGCTTCCAGCTGGAGAATGATGTTGTGTCGGTGTTCGGAAGTTGGGCTCGTGGAGGCAGTAAAGATAATCTCTGCATCGGTGAGAAGAATCTCATGATCCCAAATGAGATAGCTGATATAGGTGTCAAGATGACGCAAGAGGGAGGTATAGATTGGAAGAGTGTTGACTTTGTGGTTCTGGGTGTAGGTCGATAGAGTCTTGAGGGCAGAAGCAAGAAGTGGAAGAAGAGTAGAGCTCTCGGATGTGCTGGTAGTTCTGGTAACGGAGAGTGTATGGAGGAGGGTATTGAGGGCTGGATCTTGTTCTTCGATCTGAAGTTGAGAAGTAGACTCCGTGATTTGAATGATAGATAACTCTTCATTGTCATCCTCTTCAGTGTTGGCGAAAAGTCGTTCTAGGGCTGATGATATATTGTGCTGGGCTCTGGTTTTGCCCTTATCTTTGCCCTTGCGGGGGTGGATTATGCGATCCAAGGACTTGAAGGAGTGGCGGAAACTGTTGTATGAAAGGGTAGGAGACATCTTGCAGATTTTCAAGATGGATAATGATGTTTGGTTGAGTAGGTGTGGATGAAGAGTAGAATTTCCTGTACGAAGGAGCTCTCTAGGGAATTCAGCGTCTGAGGTGTTTCAGGCGGAAACTTAGTAGCGTTGTATGATTTCCCGTGGAGTATCCGATGATATGGTGGTTGTGTAGTTGTAGTATGAAGTAATAAACTTGCTAGTATAGTATATAGGTCGAAGTGTTCAGATGATGAATATCGAACAGAATGTTGAAACTTGTAGAAGGTATACTCGGCAACCAGAACAATAGCAACTGAGAGATGATATAGTTCTTCAACTCACAGATAATTCCTTCTATCCACGGATCATTATGATTCACAGGCTTAATATAGACTTTGACGACATACTGACTCGTCAACTAATTTGGCCGCTTCGGTTCCTGCCAGAGACTATAAGCGTAGTGATATCGTCACCGGCAGCCATAGGAGTCTATCGGTTGAATATACCACATGGAAGAATAGCAACAGTGGCTGTACAAAGCCGGAATATTTCTCCGGAGCTCGCTCACTTCGTATTTATGTTCCTTGAAGCTACCAGAATAAATATTGCATCTTTTTCAGTGTTTTTCTATGGAAGGGGCTGCGTCAGGGCATTGACAGGTCATGGCCATTAGGACATTCCAGTCTGGCCCCTGTTGTGCCTTATTCTGTGCATGTGCCAACGTCCGCGGCGCAGCAAGCATCATGCATGGTTTTGTAGTTGGATAATGCCGTAGTTTATTGCCACCTTGTTTCATAATTATTCGGTTGAAGACGCAGGGAAAGCATACTCCAAGAACATAGTACACTCTTCCGCAATCCCAGCGCATGTATATGTGAACCTGGCAGAAGTACAGTCTTGAAGACCCGGACAAACATTAAACTTGAGGCGCACGACGAACGCGTTCTCGATAGCTCACATTATCATGCTCTAGAGACATGGTTCTCCTCAACCACGAGCTTTCAGATCCTTGTAAAAACCCATATGCTCAGCCAGACTGGGCCATCGTAATGGAAGCCGCGTCTTCGTGCGAATATCGAAGACCGAGATGTTGCATGGACACAGCTCTGCGCAGTCCTTCATTTGTAGGTTGACTGAATATTTCCAAGTAGATTTTTCCTCCGTGGCAGCAAGTCAAAATTATTTTTGCGTCTTATCAATTCCATCTCAGTGAGGCTGCTGATAACGAAGTTTGCCCAACTATTTTTAAGTATGGCGTGTCAGTTCACAGGTCGATATTATGTCATGACGCGAGAAGAACTTCCACGGAAGGCTCAGCTGAGATTGCCGTGCGACGAGATATATAAAATATGGAACTGTTCTTGCCAGAGGGAAACATGTTCGGGGCTACTGTTGGCGGGCGTGAGCGAAGACTTCATAGCACAAACAGGTCTTGCCTGGCGCATGACATTAAGAGAATACGTATTTTGGACGTCCGCCATAAACGTTCGCTATCATTCTACTCTGCAATGATCTTCTGGAAACAAGGATCCATTTATCGTCAGTGTCAGTGCTTTCTTTCTTTGCGTGCAACTGGAAGATACAATCACCCAAGCTTATTGCGCTGCAACGCACGCGCAGTGACAACAGCCCGGGTCTGATTTCAGGCTTTTGTTGTTCAGTCTTGTACCATCTCTGACGGCATGCCAGATGATTCACCATTGTAGTCCAGATTGAGTTGAGATGTATCGTCCCGAGTGGATGAGGATCACGAGAATTCAGCAGCCCACGCCCGCATTTTAAGGCCGGAGGTGCTTGGAAAGGAACTGAGGAAGTCCCCTGCTCAAGCCCTGAAGTTAAGGTACGCCTGGAGAATCTTTAGGCACACCCTTGATAATCTCAGGGACCTTTCATACCACTATGGGTGCATAGCTTGCTCCTGGAAACCACTTCGTCAGACGGGAAATATGATTTTGCTAAGGTGGCATCAAACAAGGCATATGCGACGTTTGGATGCCGCGTAATTTGGGCAGGTTGGATGCGAACTTGCTTCTTACATTTAAGTACAATATTATGGTTATCCCACCCTTCTACAATGACGTGATATGTTTTGAATGAGTACATCGATATAATATGATAACAGGATGGTATATATCATCCACGTTGTTTGTTGGGTTGTGAGGGTATTATGTACCTGGTCGTGAATTAGGTATATAGAAAAATGCTTGTCTGATTCAGCTTTCTTCATCAGTATCACCTAAGATGACGCATTCAATCCAATTCAATTCATATTCTTATACCTGATCGAGCCCGCTGAGTAAGATGCTAGCTATGCAGGTGCTTCACCGTTTGAAGCAAAGAATATGGCCCCGAACGCCTGAAATACCCTCAAAACTCGCAGTAAAACATGAAGCAACGCAGGCAACGGCGTAGGAAGGTCGTCGCCGCAGCTAAGCACAACTAAATATACACAAAAAGCAAGATATACAACAAATGAGTGTCGCAACTGTGGACGCATTCTGTACGTGTAAGTTCCCAGGCATTGATTAAATATATCATATAAGAGTAGGCTTGTGACTTGATGATAAGCCTTGCATAATACTCCATATTCATGTCATCGTCATTTTTACGCGTACTAAGGCTGCAGAACATGAGCCTTCAACTCAGCCCCTGTACCGTGGATCAGACATCGTGCACTAGGTAACATACTTTACATGGAGAGTGGCATGATAATGTAGCATCTGACTAGGTAAATGTGGAGGGTGACAATCGACAAAGGAATGCTTTAATCGTAAGATGGGAGTGTAACGTAAAGTCAGAAATTTTCATACTATAGAACATTCTGCTCAAGACTATGCACAGTCAATGAAGTTTCCTTATGGCTGAGAGGCCACGATGATGGACTAACAGGCTGTTTCGTGAAGCGATTGAGATGCTATGGTAATATCACACGTCACGATTTTACGGATAGTGTATCTCCCGCTTGAATTTCACTGTAGTACTGCTCATTATATGTAGCTGCCTGGAAAACACTAGTGAGTATGCGGGGGTGGGTGCGCATTGTACCATCCATCCAGTAAGCAATTCTCAAGATCATTTCTTCTTTTCTCTAATACTTCCACACAATCATTTCGAAGGGTATTCCTTCTCTGGAAACATTAAACATATTTGTTTCTCTGGCAGTGATGCATTTAGTACTATCTTATTCTTGAAAGGCGTCGCCAGTTTGTATCCATAGTCAAAAGATATCTTCATGGTGTGTACGCGGATATTCTTGGACCATTTTACTACCATCCTACGCCGCTGCATGTAACTGACCCAGGGGAGAATAAACTGGATACAGGAGTATTTTCGGCATATCGGGTCCGAATAGGCACCTTGATAGACTGGGGTTTGTAGTATGTCACACATCCGTGGAGTGGAAAATACATTCTGTATGCGTATTAGTTGCGCAGGGGAAACTTAAATCCTCTGGGACATTTCTAGAGTTTGGCCAAACCGGCTAACACAACGGAGAAACTTTGAGAACGTTACATGCTGTGCAGGCCCTAATGGGGTCGACCGTGGTTCTCTAAAGGAGATAATCAAGGTGAGCACATTGTTCTGCTGTTTATTGGTCCAATGAAGATGGCGAAAGCCTCCTCGTGGGCCCATCTCACACTCCCAACGCGTCTGTTGACAGCCTGGATACAACGATGAACTGTTCCATAATCGATCTTGATCCAACCCGTCAAGCTTCACTACATAACACTGCCTTCGAGCCAGTTGAATGGGGTTTTGCGGTTACAACTGAAGCAAGCAATACCCATAGAGAAACTAGGTAATCATGGAGAATACGCTGTCTGCACCTGCCGGTTTTCCGAGGCTGGCAGGGCTTTACCTTCACTTCACTAAAACGAACTGATACTGATTCTGTTCTTCCAGATACGCATCATTGTATCTTTTGGGCCTATTAGAGTTCTCGCTTGTCCGGTCAACAGTTTGGCACCTAACATCTAGACCAGACGGGTCGATCCTCGGCTGGTGGGAAAAAGAAAGAGACGAGAAAGGTAGCCACGACTGCGGTTTCCACCTGCGCTTTCTGTTAGTAAAATTTTGTTGAGAGAGAAACCGATTGAGGGTTTGGTTCTTCTTGAACCATTAGACATCACTCTTTCGAGAACTAGCTTCACTCTCTTTCAGACTAAGTTACATCTCTATACTTTCGTTGAAGAACCCAGTCGTAAACTATATATTCACCCTCAGCTCAGCTATTCTTTTCCGTAAACATTATCTACTCCACTTGATTATTCTGGTGTATCATCATTCGATTGTTTAGCCCTCTAAGGTATCAGAAATGGGTGACATCAAGATGAGATCCTTAGGGTTCTACTACAGAATAGCTACTAATGATTGCCTGGACAGGATTGTGACTTCATTCCTAAACCTCCACCACACAATGCAGTATCCACCTTGGCCAGAACAAGCAACCTTCAGGGTATCCTCTACCGATTCACACAACTACAGCGATGTGGTGAGGACCATCCGACTACCCTTTTCTCTATCTTCAATTCCCGAATTTAACAGAGGATCTCAAGGGCAATGCGTCTCAGGCGGTGTCCGCCCATAGAGTGGAGCATATTTTGACTAGCAGGAAGATGGCAATTCCTAGGCTAGCAGAAGGCTTGGAAACATTCTCAACCCCTGGTAGGTTTCATCGTCGCCACGTGAGCCGGGCATGCGAATCCTGCAGACAGAGAAAGACAAAGTGCACAGGGGATAAGTCCGGTTGTCGCAACTGCCGTGAGGCTGGCATCATCTGCTGCTACACAGATGGTAAAAGGGAGAAATCCAAGAGGTGTGTTTTCATCTGACTAGCTAGATCCTCAACTGATTTTAGAGGCATTGGTACACCAAGGCAATTGGCTAGTCTGGAGGCCAAAATACGGACTTACGAAGACGCTTTGAAGAACCTGAGCAACAGATTTGGGCTTACGAATGAGCAGCTGATGAACCTGGCATTGACAGTGGTATGGACACAGACTCCTCGCATCTCTTTAGCCTTAGCCATATCTCTTGTTCCGATCGAGCTCGCTATTTCCACTTCGCTCTGTCTACTCCAAGATCTTTTACTGACTAGAAGTAGGAGGAGTCCCCCAGTCCTGCCTTGTCCCCTGATGGGCAAACACCCTTCCTCGGAAATCAAAGACCTCTTTCAACCTCCAACTCCCAGTTGCCACCATTCGTTGACTCCAGCCACTGCGTTGATTGTATCAGTGAAGACTTTAATAAGGACGAAGTTTCCCAGGCTACGGGCTACATTGGCCAAAGCTCCGAAATTGCATGGATCCATTCGTTAGGACGAGATGTCAACGATGGAACTGGATATGGGACTCCCAAAGAATCTATATCACTGCAAAACTCTGATGGTAGTCTTATATCCGCTTCGAATTACCATGTTGATGATCAAGAGCTGCCAAGTATCGAGCGACAAGAGCCTTATGCACTGCCGTCAAAGGATATAGCTTCAAAGCTCTATAACTGCTATCTGGACCGGGTGCATCCTTCTTTTCCAATCATTGGGACCACACCATTCGGAGCACAGTTCCGTGCATTCTTCAACAATGCCAATTTACGCCCAGGAAACAAGTGGCTCGCAGTCTTGAACGTAGTCTTTGCAATCGCTGCTAGGTATGCTTATATCTCTGAAGCAGAATGGCAATTGAACAAGAATAATCACTGGCTGTATTTCTCAAGAGCAACAGTCTTGAGTATGGATAATGGAAGTTTTCACCATCCTGACCTACAGCAGTTACAGGTGGAAGGGCTAACAGCTTTGTACATGCTTTCTTTGGGGCATATCAACCGGTACGTACGTCTATGTCCGTATATACAAGTCACCCATGTATGTCAGTGCTTACAAATGATTCAAGTGCTTGGAGAATTTGTGGAGGTGCTGTTCGTGGAGCCCTTGGTCTTGGTTTGCATCTGCGCAACATGAGCAAGTCGGCTTCGGATACTTCCAGGGAGATCCGATATCGCGTATGGTGGTCCCTTTACATGCTTGATCACCGACTTAGCATGGTCACAGGACGGCCGTCTTTCATAGATGATACTATATATACAATACCCCTGCCTGTTCCAGTTGACGAAGAGGATTTCGAAAGGGATGAAGTGATAAACTGTCTCCGTCTGTCACACGGGACTGAAGGCAACGGTTTAACTTTTGATCTGAAGGCCAAACACTCGATAGCTACCCCAAAGGCTACAGGCGCAACTGCCAGTCCTCCTTGTGGATCATTGCACTTCCTCCATGTCATTCTGCTCACGCTGATATCAAAGAAAATGACGACCAAGCTCTACAGTCCCGGAGCAGCGCGCACATCTTGGATAGGGATAGAGTTTGCCATACAAGGTCTCACCTCTGACATCGAATCTTGGCTTTTGAGTCTTCCTAAAGATTATGATTTTACATCGACACAGTCCTCACAGATCACACATTCGATATCTACCCACCGGATGAGCCTGGCATTTTTATTCTATAGCACCAAAATTGGCATAACACGGCCATGCCTTCGCCGCTATCCTGCGGAGCAGGAAGGCAAGGTTTCAGACCTGAAAATGCAGGATTTCTGTCACAGAACAGCAGCTGAGTGCGTGGAATCGGCTTGCCATATGCTGAGGCTATTTCCCGAAGGACTAGATGCTGCTGCACTGTACAGAATGTCACCGTGGTGGTGTATACTGCATTTCCTTGTTCAAGCAACCACAGTCCTTTTGATAGAGCTGTCTTTGGGTGTTTGTCACGTTCCAGAGAAAGCTTCGATGGTTTCCAAGGCGACTGAAAGAGCCCTTCAATGGCTTGCTATACTAGCAAAGACCAACGCAGCCTCAGAGAAAGCTCGCTTACTATGCCAATGCCTACTACGCCGTATCGAACAATATGCAGGAGTGAATCTACCTATTCACCCTATCCCAAGTGATGTCGGCATTTCTGTTCCGCCTGGACCTAGACCAACCGGACTTTCGTCTACTCCAGACTCACGCCCCAGTGAATTTGGAAGCGGTCCTTCACCATTTTCAGGTTCTTCAAATACTCTGGAAGCCCATGTAAAGTGCCAACCTCCTCCAGAAAGTCCTGGTCTTATGCAAACGGACAAGGATACCAATACTCAGGATACTTACGATGAAGGCCTTCCTTATGATCCAAGCACAGGGCAGATTATAGGGTCTTTCTTCCCACCTAATTTAAGTCTCGGCTTGGAAATAAGTGATTATTTTTTGGAGGAAGTGTGACACTTGCCTACACCTCGTGATCAGGAATGTAATCAAAGGGCTGCCCTCTATCAGGCCTCCCAGACGGTCTCCTAGTCTTGCTGTGATAGTTTGAGCATCGCGGTCCTGTCCCTATATAAAGCCGTGATGGGCACCCAGATTGCAATGAATGTCTCTCTTCATGGTGTTGACAGAAGTGTACTATTATAAGAATTGAAGACTTTGACTTAGTTCCACCACCCTCAAATTAAATTGATTCTGAATGCTTCGGTCTACCGAGTCCTCTAATTTCCACCAAAGGCTTTCTCATTCAACCAGCCGTCATAACTGCCAAACTGATCCAGCTTATACCTCCCCGCGTTAAGATGGAATAGAGGATACCCCTTGATAAACTCGTTGACTGCCTTTAGCAGTCTCGGATTGCCCTCACATGCAGCACGCAGTCTCCGGATACTACCCAAGCACTGATCCACTCTCTCCTGGAAAACCTCATACTCAGAAATCCCCCTGCAAACAGAAGTCTGCCTGATCCACGTCCCGGGTTCATTTCCCAAAACAGACTCCTTATAAAAAGACAACACATCATTCAACTGCTCAATAATCCCCGCTATATCAGGGATCAACGTAAAATAATCCCCCAACTTCCAGTCACTCTCGGGGAAGTAGAAAAACGCATAAGCTTCTCCAATACCACTTTTTTGTCGCAAGAAGTCCGGAAACAACTTGGTAGAAGGAGATACCATGAAATCACCCGTCCGCTCTGCCTCCACGATATTGATGCTCACAAAGTCCATGGTTGACTTGAAGATCATGTCGCCAGCATACCATTCATAGTGACTAACTATATCGTGAAGGATGTTGTATAGTCCCTTGATGTATTGCAGATTGGTACTGGATTTGCCAAGAAAGACGGAGCGGTAGGGTTTAAGCTGCTCGCGGAATTCGGGATCTGCGCATTGGTCGTCGATCGAGAAAACGTATGCTGTTAGGACTCCTATGGAGACCTGTAGATCTCGGGGAAGGCTGGGGTAGAAGCATCGTGTTAGGACTTCTCCTGTGTCGACGAAGTGGGGAATGGTGTCTTCTGGGAGGCCGGAGGCGGCCGCGAATTTGTTGAAGACTTCGTTTTTAAAGGCTTCGTCGGGCGCGAAGGGTGGGAGGTTGGGACAGAATTCCTTCAAGAAGGGTGTGATGATTCTAAAGGAATTCTTCTGGTGATACTGGGGGTTGGGCTTTTGTCATTTTTGCGATGCGGTGCTGATGATTATGGGGTTGTGGGAGGTACTGATAAGTTGTGGGAAACTACATATAGTGGATGTTCTGCCCTTCCTAAATCGGTACTATTGGGTTCTTGCAAGGAGGATTTCGTTGCGTCATGAGGTTGTCATATCGGGTTGATCGCGCATTCTGTGAGACAATAATGGTGTTCGATGAAACTTCAATATTGCCATGTCCTTTGATGCAACTGGCATTGGAGTGAACCCAGGGATATGCACGCAGCTGTGTTGCACTGACGGAGTGTGAGTAATACTGTAATAAAATGTAGACATGCAGAAAAGGGTATGCTGTGTGAGAGGATGTAGAGGAAACGATTGGGCCATTATATAGTGTTCATGCGATAGTTGTAAAATATAGTAAATGCATAACTAGCATACAGAGAACAGAAAAAGGTCAGTGAGTGTGGGGTCATGACTATCTGTAGATATGCATTCTCTCAACATGGTGATCTTTGCGGTCGATGGAGGCTCTTTTTGATGCAAGTCTCCGAGCCACAAGAATTTCCCCTGATAAAAAGTGCTTCTTATCCACAATGATTCCCACCTTGATTTATGAATATCGAGAAAAAATTATACATCAGATATTATTCTCTAAATAATGACGATTATCGTGGTTCAACCGGCATGACTGTTGAGGTCGGATTAAGCAAGGGGGGTTTGCGATTGACCTCACTGGTATACAGAGCCTTGTATGACAAAGCTGCATCCATACTATTTAAGCACTGTGATTCAATGGTCGGCATACCGCCCTGAGTATGGTAGGATCAGGGTATCTCTCGCGGTCACAGTGGTAGTTTCTGCAAGGAGTAAAGAGAGTGATGTGTTTGGTTGCACAACCTCACGGCAGTATCCTCTTCGCATTCCTAGTTCGTCCTGTTAGAAAGTTGTCATTGGTGTATTAGATATTGATAACGTCCAATGTCTTATCAAAGTGCAGTCATTCAGGCTTGAGAATATCTAGTCAAGCTCCCCTCTTTGACAGAGCGGTCAACTCCCTATCCTGCAATATTTACTCTGTCTGTCCTCTACCTAGCTCAACTTTTCACATAGCTTCTTCATGGAATCGTTAAGAGATCCTGCGCATGTTAAACTCAGAGCTAAGATGGCGGAAGACAACGTGTTAAGCATCCTTGTGGCAACAGTAATACTCCTGGTATGTTGCCCGAGGCTGTTATCTCCGTGAAGCTGCATAAGCGATCGAGAGAGCTAAGTTCGAGGGTGGCCTATAGTACTTGTCGGTGGTTACTTATAACCTATTTATTCATCCACTGAAAGACTTTCCCGGCCCGCGAACGCTAGCCGCCAGCAGAATCCCCGTAACCTACGCCTCTCTGAAGGGTAATCAAACACAGTGGCTCCACAACCTTCATCTGAGGTATGGACCAGTCGTACGCGTCGCTCCTAATGAGCTGAGCTTTATCGACGAACAAGCCTGGAAGGATATATATAGCAGTTCACCCACGGTGCCACAAAGTATGAAGAGAGGGTCTGATTTCTTCAGATATCTTGAAGATGATGACAATCGGCCCTCTATCCTAGCAGCCGATGAGACAGATCACCCAAGAATTCGGCGAGCCTACGCGCCAGCATTTTCACGGCGAGCCTTAGCCCGCCAGGAACCAATCCTAGCCAAGTATGGTGACGCTCTCGTTGAAACCCTTTCCGGCATGGAAGGGCATATCACAAATATACGCGATATGTTCCATTACACGCTTTTTGAAATTGTTGGGCATTTTCAGTACGGTGAGGAAATGGGCGTCTTGCGAACAGGAGCACGGAAATCGTGGGTACACAGCCAGCCCGCACTGATAAAAGCCTCGACTTTACTATCAGCTCTCGCTGACTTCACCTGGATCAACCTTTTGCTCCGGTGGACCATACCCTGGATGTCAAAATGGCTCCGCAAGGCATACTTCAAGCCTTCGAATGACCTCATAGACCATCGACTTCAAATCCAAAGCGACGAGCCTGACCTTATCGGTCTTACATTTCGCAACAGTCGCAGCTCAGCTTTGACTGAGAAGGACATTCGTGCCAATGCTCACATCATGATGCTTGAAGGAGCAGAAACAACCATGGGCCTCATGACATTCTTGACTGCGTGCCTCCTCCAGCACCCCGAGTGCTTTGCGCGTCTCACAGACGAGATTCGCACAGAATTCCACGATAAGAGCCAGGTCTCTCTGGAATCGGTATCGAAACTTGCTTACTTGGATGCTTGTATCAAGGAGGCTTTAAGAATGTACCCCCCAATCCCCGGGGCTATACATCGTGTTGCCCCTCCAGGTGGGGCACCCATAGCCGGTCACTGGGTCGCAGGAAACACACGAGTCTATATTCCAATTTTTGCAGCCACACATTCCCCAAACCACTTCTGGAACCCTGAAAAGTTTGTTCCTGATCGTTGGCTAGAGGGTGCAGAAGGCCCGTACCAGAAAGATAACAAAGCGGCATGCCATCCTTTTTCGACAGGACCGCGGGGTTGTATTGGCCAAGAGTGAGTTGACCTATTATCTATCATACATGAACTTTGGTTGATATGTAAATAGCATGGCATATGGCATGGCAAAGGTAGTATTCTGCAAATTCGCAACAGAGTTCAACTGCGAACTTGCATCTGATGATATCAGCCCCTGGCTCACAGGTCTTCGTTCATGGGGCACATGGGATGTGCCGCCACTCATGGTGCGGGTATCTAGAGTGGAAAAAGCCAGCATCAGAATATGATATGATGCCGTTGTAATGACGCTTATGAGAAGTGGCTAGTCATGATGACAATGATGGTATAGTGATGACAATTAGTTTCAACAATTCGATGTAACTTAGGTGTGTAGATTGGCATTCAGGAAGACGTTAAAGAGCTCCGCCTCCGCGGCCTATTTTACAGTCGGATCCAATCCGGCGGTGCACAGCCCAACTGTCAGTTGGCTATCCCTACGCTCACTGTATCCCCGGGAGAGCAGGTGCGACAAACGGACACTGTTTATCTTATTTCGGGGATTTCATTCAGACTGTCCACCGGAATGACCCAAGTTACAAAATACGTATGCCTTCGGGTTCCCTTCCCGAGATACCCTCGGGTTTTACTGAAGCGTCGGATTCTCGAAAAGTTGTGCAGTGAAGATCATCGACCCGAAAGCGGACATCTGTACATCTCTTCCCGGTTCTCCAATCTTTCACCAGAATAAGTTAGGCTTAGGTCCTCATCCTTGTCATAAATTATGGGGACACACTGTTGCAATATAACCCCAACATTCTATGTGTAAGATGGTGTTCTAGCCGTCTTGGCTCAATAGACTAAGGCTAACATTCCTTGTAAGGAATATGCTGCTTCTTACCAAACACCAGTAGTCAATCTTCCGTAAGTCTCCGAAGTCTTAAAGAAAGCTCCAGGACCAAATCGGTTACCGATGTATATCGGGACAGTCACTGTAGCCTGGCATTCTACCATGTATGCGTCGTGACGGGAGTGTCGAACTACGTGGTTGATTTTTACAGCCAGTTTTCTGGAAGTGCCATGGGTGCTGTTGCTGCGGGAGAGGATGTTTGCTCTGCTTTCCTGCCACTTGCAGTATGAGCATGTACCGGGTGCTACGATATTAGTGGGCGTGTACGCTACTTGGTTTTTTTTTTTTTTTTTTTTTTTTTTTGGCTTCGTACTGTCGCTTATTCCTACATTGATGTTTGTCTTGAGGAAGGAGGTGCGTGCTCCGAGTGCCTTTATGAATGAGATGGCGAATGATGCAAGGATGCGGTCGGAAATGGTTGAGGTAGCCATAGCGGAGAACACAGGATAATGATTGATGCAACAGTGACTAGGGTAAATGAATTTGCTTCAGTGAAGCTCGTTCTGGGTGGCGAACCACGAGTGTAGCAGACAAGTAGGAGTAGTTCGAAAAATATATAAAATTTGATCGAATTGAATTGAGATTGAACTACACTAGCTAGCACTAGCGTCATACCAGAAGACTACAAGAATAGAACCTATACTGGGACAAGTCTAGGAATGCCAATTTACTTGACATAATCATAATGGTGCCACAGCTGAACACGAGTGAAGCCACAGAGAGACACCTGTACGGAGTACAAGATTTGATATCTCTCCCGGCGATTGATCTTGCACGGAAGGCGCCCCACCAGACCACAAGACGGCATGAGATAGTAGTCCACCCACCCGCTAAGCGAACAGGCAAAAAAAGAAAAGATAAAAAAGAAATGACCTACGCAGGATTCGAACCTGCAATCTCTTGATCCGTAGTCAAGCGCCTTACCATTGGGCCAGCAGGCCAATTGATATGTCTTTGAAAATAACTAGCCTACATAAATGGAAATTGAAATTAGATTCCTAACAAAGTCAATTCCCACCCCAACGCCATCCATCCATCCATTCTAACCAAGACGACAATGAAGCAGATGTACAAGAGACCAACCATGCTACTACTAGTAGTAACTCACCGCCGGCCACCCATTCATCCGACTATACGCATCCAACGGCGTAGTCCCATTCAACTGGTCATAAAACACCCTTTCCCCACATACTTCCTCCTCCTCTTCCCCATTAGTGCTACTAGTACCAGCAGTACGAGTGACATCCTCCGCACACCTTCCCTGCAACAGCGCGGCAACATTATCCCCCGCCTCACGTCCCTCATACCACGCCCCATGCAAAAACCCGAAATAGGGGGCACTAGTCGCCTCCCCTGCGAACCAGAGTCTTTCCGTATTCGCCCGCAGATTCTGATGCATCTCTAGGGTGGTTCCCGCCGGCCAGTTGGAGTAGCTGCCGTAGACCCAGGGTTCGTTCGTCCAGCGGGGGTAAGTAAACGCCGTAGGCTCGGGTATGTCCTTGTCGGGAAACATCTCTCTCAGGACATCAAGGATTTGGTCTTTGGTTTGGGTCAGGGATTGGCGTTCGACGCGGTAGGCTTGTTCGTCGACGACAGTGGCGAAGAGGATGTTTGAGTCGGGGAGGAAGTTCTCTGTCGAGAGGGATTGAAAGACGGGATAGTAGCCTCTTGTTGTTGGGGAGGCGTAGAGGAAGAATTGTGTGTCTGTGGGCCAGAAGGTCTCCGGGAACTGCATGAATATCTTGGTGTAGGTACCCATGTTGAATTTCTCGATGGCGGTTTGTTTCCAGGACGGCAGGGGTGGGTCGAAGGTCACGGCTTTGTTCTGGAGGACGCCCAGGGAGAAGGTGCAGATTGCGTAGGCGGCTCGGATGCAGGTGTTGCTGTTTTTGTTGTCCTTGGTGTGAATTGTTACGCCCCTTGGGGAGTATTCGATGCGGGTAACGCGGGTGTTGAGACGTAGGCGGCTATCGGAGGGGTTGGCTAGGAAGGTGAGCGCTTCGTTTTCGATGATGGTGCTGTATCCGCGCGAATCGAGGACGAGGTGGTTGGCTTTGCCGAATTGGTTGAAGGTTAGGTTTTCGCCGGCGATACCGAAGACCAGCGAGCTGGTTTCGGGCGTGTGTGCGTCTTCCCAGTCTAATTGAGGGGATATGCGTTAGTCCCGTGTGGGAGATGGGATAGGGTTGGTGTTATCCCGATGGGTGTAAAAAGGGTTGGGTGTTCCCCCTCTTAACGGTAATTGTTCATACCCCAGCTCCACCATTCCACGGCTTGTGCGGCCATGTCATTCTTGCGTGGTCTCCAGCCAGCGAGGGCGAGCCCAGTGCGTGCGGTTTGGTCTTGCAGGTTCTGCGTCAGGATGCGGCCGGCATTGCGGGCAGCAATGTGGTAGGCCTGGGCGTAATCGTCAAGTAAATAGCGGTAGTCAGTGTAGCCGGTCTCGTTGTATGTTCGGATGGAGCTGTAGTTGGAGTAAGTGTTTTTCAGATGGTACTTTTTGGCTAGTGCCCAGACTGGATTCTCGATGGCTTCAGAGCCGAGTCCTTGGAGCTGTTTTAATGGTGAGGCGGATGTTGATTTGACAGGGTGTAGGTTGTCATACCCAGTTGGCTCCTAGCTCAATCACATATGGTTTGCCCTGCTTATCCTTCCCGAAGTCGGTATGCCAGACACGACCACCTAAGGTATGGCGATATTCGAGGATAATGAAGTCGTCGATTGATGCGTTGGATAAGGCTTGCTAGTGGTCTTGGTGAGCATTGCCGGTCGGGGTTTAGGGTAGGGGGCCTGAGGGTCACCTACTGCAGCGGCAATGCCGGCCATCCCTCCACCCCTGTTAACGTTAGACGCTAAGCTCCAGCGCGATATTAAATCTTAGTGGGGAGCTCCTACAAGATGGCCACCGTTGTTTCGGTGCACTTGTCATCGCTAAGCGGTGCCTGTGCAACATAAGCGGAGCAGGAGAACAGAAAGGTCGTCGCTAGGAAGGCGTATAAAGAAACGGTGATGGGAATCGTATGCATGGCAGGTGAGTGACGTCTACGAAGAGCGGAAGTGGATGGCAATAGTAGTATGGTATATATTCACTCAGTTCTGCATTAGACTGATTTGCTTGCTATGCACTGGTAGTAGTAAGTAGATTGGCCGTGGTGAGAACGGCAACTGCTACACCAGAGAGGATAAGGGGGAGGTCAAATCAAGCCTGTCAGGACCTGGCATGGTGGGCTGGTCAGCCGGACAAGGGCCAGCTCAAATAGTTAATCAGGCGTGAACCCAAAGGGGGAGAGGAAGCAAAAGCAAAAGCATCAAATCAATAGTGTGTCTGCACGGAAGGGCAAGGATGATCGGTGAAGGGCTGGTGGGAGCGCCTTGTGATCGGGACAGGCATCTTGGCGGGCAGCCAAGGCAAGAGGGCGTACCACGTGAGACATTCCTCGACAAGCTTCTGGAAGGCGATTCATTCATCGATCATCAAGGGATGAAAGCCGCGCAGCAGAATAAGCCGGTGGTTTTGCACCAGACAGGAATGTCCAGGCGGGTGAGGCGGTCCTCCCTCCTGATTGGCTAGTAACGCCTGATAAGGCAGCGATAAGGAGATAAGGCATCCCCACCTCGAAATGGACCGATGGGTGCCTGGGGCCGCCATTCCGGATAGATCCTGATCTGCCCTTTCTGGTTGAACAGTAGTGCCGCGCAAAGAGGATTGGGCGATGCTTGACCAGCCGCGGGTAGATTAAGCTTCCCCGCATGAGGTTGGACATACCCCTTTGATCCATAGCTCCTATTAGCCCAACATTACCCCTCTCAGTGCGATTTAAGCTGCCAGTAACCTCATGTCGCACTTCAACTCCATCAACCGCCAAAATCTCCCGTCAACAATCCCCTTGGACTGACCCTCGGCCATGGAAAAATCGAAAGTCGCCCACGATGGGCCCGAAGATGATGTTCAATTGGCCGAAATGGGGCATAAACCCGAGCTGCAACGGAACTTTTCGACCTTGTGTGTACTATTGATTGCCTGGTCCTGGATGCCCCGATGGAAGAAACCCTATTGACCCGAGATTAGGTCTATGCTTGGATTGGCCTTTGCGGTGCTTAATGTACGTCCTCTACAGTGCCAACTGCCCACGGGTCGATCACACGTGCTGATAATCTGCCGATTAGTCTTGGACGGCTCTATCCGCGAGCTTATCCCTCAGCTTACCCTCAGGGGGGAGCACTAGCGTCGTCTGGGGTGGGCTGCCAATGGAATTAGTTTCCTATTTGGGTTTGCTGACCCCCAGTCATAGGTTTGGTCACGGCGGGGTTCTGCAACCTCTGTATTGCAGTGTCGCTAGCTGAATTCTTGTCCGCATATCCAACGTGAGTTTTATCAAACCAGCTTGGTTTGCTAAAACCTTAGTCACTAACAAGAATGTATCAGGGCGGGAGGACAGTATCATTGGGTAGCCGGTATGTTTTCCCGCAGGATCCTGTCAGAATGCCATACTGATTTTGACTTGCAGTCAGTACGTAGGATTATCCCTACCTCGTTAGTATCCCCTAACGTCTCTCAGTATCCTGGCCAAAATGGGTTCCTATCCTATCCTGGGTAACCGGGTGGATTAATGTGGCGGGATGGGTATGTCTCCGCAGAAATGGCCTGATCATCGCTGACCAGCTAGGTTGCCCTTGTCGCCACCAATGCCCTTCTCTCCTGCGAATTGATTGCAGGAATTGTGTCATCCGTGTACCCGGTAAGACTTCTAGTGTCTCTGGACAATCATCTGGATGTTGATACCATGCTGGTAGGACTTTGTTTGGCAGCGCTGGCAAGAGTTCCTGATCTACGTGGGATACACACTGCTTGCATTCGTCATCAACGCCTTCATGAATTCAATCTTGCCTATCATCTACCGTGGAGCATGTAAGCTACCCTGCGGAAAATGTATCAGAGCGGGTTATTAACTGGAACAGTCACCTGGTCCATCGGTGGTTTTGTTTTGATCTGCATCACGGTGCTGGCTTGTGCATCCCCGGACTACAACTCTGCCTAGTATGTATTCCCGCCATCGTGTCTTGGCCGCACACCATGCTGACCATGCATATAGCTTTGTGTTCTGCGACTTTGTCAATCAAACTGGCTGTAAGTTTACTGAAGGAGAGGTCCTGTGAATATTGCAAGCCAAGCTAACGAGCGATAGGGCCTGATGGAGTGGCTTGGTTACTGGGGGTTAGCCGCAACTCTTATACTAGTCTACCACGACGCTAACAGACGCAGCTTCTTCAAGGGGGGCTTGGAGTGACCGCATTTGTAAGTATCCCACTCACCAGTGCTGATGTCAATCTAACATGAACTAGGACGCGGTGGCTCATATGATTGAAGGTAATCACTTCCGATATGCAGCTAAATAACCTTAAAATAACCCTCAAACACAGAGATCCCCAACCCCTCAATCAAAGGACCGAAGATCATGGTAGTCTGTGTCGGCATTGGTACCTTTACCGGGGCAGTATTCCTCATTGTCCTCCTCTTCGTCGCGGGCAACATGGACGAAGTAGTCAATTCCAGCGCAGGGCCTCTACTAGAAATCCTCATCCATGCCACCAACAACCGGGTGGGCGGCATCTGCCTGCTCATGTATGTTACACTCCCTCTATCCCATGCAACCAATACTAACGTCGGACTACAGGCTCCCTCTCGTCTGCCTATTATTCGCAACACTCAGCGTCATGACAACAAGCAGCCGAATGATCTTTGCATTCGCCAGGCACGTCGCCCCTCCTTTCTCGCCCCCTGCTCCCCGAAGTACCTGGACACGAAGACTAACACAAAACAGAGACGGCGGCCTCCCCGCCTCTAAATTCTTCGCGCGCGTGCACCCCAGACTCGGTCTTCCCTTGAACGCACTAATTTTAACCGCCTTTGTGGTGATTATCTTCGGGTGCATTTACCTCGGATCAAGCAGGTACCTCCCTCCCCGAAATCATTTTACCCCTGGAAGAATATAAAACACATACTGAGATAAATGCAGTGCCTTCAACGCAATCGTCTCCGCTTCTGTCGTCGCACTTGATCTCTCTTACGCCATGCCAATCGCAGTGAATTGTTTACGCGGACGGAGAACTCTCCCTGATCGCAAGTGGAAAGTTCCTAATGCAATTGGATGGGTGATCGATACTGTATGTACATTTACACATGTCTTCGTATTGTGGCAGATGTGCTAACTTGACCAGATCTCGCTATCGTATATTGCACTTACTACTGTTCTGTTCCTATTCCCGCCTGATCGGCCGGTTACGGGGAGTAGTATGAGTAAGTTTCTTTTTCTTTTTTCTTTTCTTTTTCTTTTCTTGATAGTCTGGGGCCGTGTTCAGTGCTGAAATGTCCTTCTAGATTACTGCATTGTTGCATTCGCCATTATTGTCATCATCTCGGTGGTACAGTGGGTTGTGGACGGGAGGAAGAATTTCACGGGGCCAAGGGTGGATTTGTCTTGATTTATATTCCTGTAGAAGTTTCTCGGGGAGGCTTTTGAGAGTACAAGACATTTGTGAGATAGTAGGAAGGGGATAGCTATATAATTCTAATTAGGATACGTGCATCTACACATACATCCTCAATATAGTGGAACCAATGTTTTGTCCGGAGTGGACTGTTCCTCTTAAATTTCGTTTTTTTCGGCGTGGGTTTGCGTAATAAGACGTTTCGATCCATAAATTGCTTCCCAAAGTGACGCATCTAGCTTGACAATAATGGGCTAAATAGAGTTAGGATCTGAAGAGTACGAATGCTTTGCTCTTCAATGGCTTGTTGGAAGAGTCACTAGAAGCTGCTGCAAGCCAGTACTTCGTGCGGGAGGTCAGTGTAGTCACTGCGAGGCGGCACATAACCAAACATTTATAGCGCATTACCACCAACCATGGATTGGGTGATATAAAAGCGCAGGAGGTAGGTCTGACAGTAGGTGTTTCAAAGCGTAAGAATATAAAAAAGTCTGGTTTTGGGATCTGCAGCATGGACCACGTTTATTCGTACCAGATGAAGAGACAAACGAACGAATCAACAATTTAGCAGGCTCCAAAAAGTCACCAAATGTATGTTTACGACTTCGGCGGAGGCGGCGATATCCATCTTCCATCCCGTAGCCAAACCCCGGCTCCACCGTATTTGCCGGCTTCCGCTCCCTTGAGGAAGGCGAACCGAAAGAAAAGGTCTTCCGGCTCAGAATCATCATCCTGCACAGTGACGTCCAGCTGGTCACTCTCGATGGTGGGTCGATGTTGCAGTTCCAGCCCTCTGTGTCCATGTCGATGCCATATAAACTCACCCCGCTGGTCTTCGTCCAGATAGCCGCGCCAGCGCTCGACGTCGTTCACCAATACAGAGATACCATCTACGCCCATCTTGTCCATACGTTGCCGTTCCCAGAGGTTGAAAGTAATATTTCCATTTCCGTGATGTGTTTCGGGAGACCCAGGACCAGGAAGGGAGACCGAGACCGAGGAATCACTGACATTGGGGTAGGTCCCGCCCCACCATCCGTGCGAACCCCCAGGGCCCGGGGCTTGCTCGCCCAAGGCGGCGGGGGTTTCTATGATCGATGCAAATCCCCAGCGAGCGATGCCGTTGATGAAGAGACCCAATAGCAATCCCTGATAGATCAACGAAGGGCGCGTAGGTAGGGCCGTTCCCGGCATGAGAAGGATGGCAAGGATGTAATGATGGATTCTCAAGCGCAGACCTGGCAGTGGGAGTAAGATCAACAGGATGAGACCCATAGTGCAATAGATCTTGAGGTAGCGAGGCATTAAGCCTCCTATGCGTATTTGCCAGGCTTGACTCAAGATGATGCAGACCACCGTGGGAATCACCAGGGCCAGTGCAACCTTGGCTCCGGGCTGCTTCTGGATATCATGAGGAGTCAAACGCTCGAGCGGGATCAGCCTGGCGAAAGTGTAATTATTCAGACCACCAATAAAGGCAGGTGGCAGGTAGAGGAACATTTTAGTCAGCTGGTACATTGGCTCGGAAAGCGGGGTCAGAAGCGGCCGTGCGCAATACTTATACAGGACGAAGGCCACAAACGACGCCGGCAAGAGTCGCGAGAACATGGTTGAGAAAAGGTCGGCAAACTGAGAGATCGACGGCGGATCAGAAACCAGTCCCACCTGGCAAAACAGCATGACGAATGTGCTGAAGAACAGAACAGGTGGGGAGACGCAGAACAGCCAGAGAAGACTTAGTGCGCCAATGGTAATGCCTAGCAATGGCCAGCGAGGATCTTGAGGGCAGGTTGCCTGTGCTGAGGAGAGCTCGACAAAGCTGAACGATTTGGGGAAGGTTGACGGAAATTCAACCGAGCGAATTCCATGTTGCTTTGACGCATGGAAGGAATGGGCGGCGCCATCCAGCTTCAATACACCACAACCACCAACCGCATTAGTGATCACGCCCGCATGAATGGCTGCCTGACACACGAAACTATCTGCTCGATACACGGCAGGCTCATCGGATTCTGGTTGAGGACCTCCCACTACCAGGCCCTGGTAGCTATAGGTCTGGTTGCCGATCGTATGCGGCTGGAGCAATTTTGAGTCGCGGCAGTTTGCAGGACACCGGAAGGCCATAGTTGATGCAGAGAAGGGGCGACAGTCGTTGCCGTTGAGGCCACAGTCATTGCCAGACTGCCATAGACTCGTGGAGCAAGCGAGTGTCTTCGGTCGTCCATAGCCCTCGATGTAACCGCCCTGTCGCGAATGCAGCAAGACAATGGTCCAGGGCAGAAACCAGACAAAATACAGCAGTGCCAGCAATGCGATCTTGTGCTTGCGTTTGGGAAAGAAGCGCTCGAGTAACCGAACCGGCAATTCTTGATAGCGAGGGAACAGCGGCTTCAATAGGAGGGATTGCGGAGGTTTCGGGCCCTTGACCCAGTCGGCTATCGCCCAGCCTGCTTTGCGTAGCGGCAATGGAACCCATCCCCAGCGAATGGATTTGGATGACTCCCGTAGCCAGACGGGTAAGTATGGGAGACCGGTCTCTTCATGCTGAGGGAGGTCGGGGGTATCGTCCACGGGACGGTTTTCCGTTTCCCACAGTGGTGGGACATGAGGACGAGAGCCGTCCTCAGGTCCTTCTCCAAGCATGCTGCAAGGACGTCGACGCGAACAATTGGGGAAGTTGTGGTGAGGTATATCGGAACCCCGAGAAGATCAAGGAACGGACGCAGCTAACTGTGGGGACGAACGGTGGAGGGGCGCTAGGACTCGGGGATTCTAGACCGCGACCAGAGAGAGACCCTTCCAGCCCGTGGAAGGAGGGGATCGGAGCGCTCAATGATAGAGCTCTGGAAGGGCGAGAAAGACGAAGGGGAAATCAGGTGAGAAAAGAAATAGAGATAAGGGAAAGAATGAGGCGCGTCGGGACTAGTCACATGGATACATATCCGGAGGCGACAGAGCGACAGAGCGACAGAGCGACAGACAGACGGACAGAACAGTCGGTGACTAGTCAGTTAAGTCGGGCTTCCGTGAGTTTCCGGTGTTTCGCCTCTCTTGGGCGACCGATGTCACGGCACGTGATGGTAGTGGGCATGTGATCTGCTCCTCACATGACTGATGGCTTCCGAAACCGGATCGCCTCTGCTCTGATCATCAATCAAGAATAATGAGCAACAAACTAATACATACCTGAGTGTAGCATGGAACCCTAGCCTGCATACACTACTGAACTACTGACACTCACATAGATTCCAGACCCCGAGTGGAGTAAGTAGATGTTAGAAACGAAGTAGTAGTTACTTGTCCGACAAATCTCCTAACTAACAATACTAGAGAAAGATGGAAAAATAATAATACTTAAGCAGTACCCCTTCTGTCGAGCACCATGCCCACCTTCAACTTGAAATTGAATGGGGAGGAATCTACTGTACTATCAGTCCGGATGGTATTGATGGCTGCCTTGTATGCCGTCGCAAGGTTGTCCGAAAGAGGAAGATTTAACGCGGAAAATATACAGGGGCGGCGCGACCCGTTGATTTTCCCGGCTGATTGGTCTTGAAAGGGCAAGTTATTGTTCTTCGTGGCCTTCCATTGTACTTCTTCTTTCTCCTCCGCGTTTCATCGCGCCCAGAGTCTTAGCATGCGACATCCTTGCAACAATGAATGATTTTGAAAGACTACGTCCAGTTGGTGAGTGAGAAGTGCCTGACTTGAGAAGCCGAGGCCAACGGAAAATTGAATTGACGGCTGTCAGGGCCCCTGGAGAAATACTCCACCACGCGCCATTCACTCGGACTATATTTTAACGTCGCGGTGTCGGCAACCTACATCTTGCCGGATACCTTCACTCTGCCGCTAAAAGACTATGTATATAGGGCTTGTGAGACATTGATCGGCCAGCATCCTATCTTGTCCGCCATCCCCATCAGTGAAGATACCGAAGATACCTGGTTCGTGCGCCTCCCGGAGATTGATCTGAGCCAGTCGGTGGCATTCCAAAGGCGCACCCGCGACTTTCCCGACAACAATGAACCGGATGTAGAATTATGCGAATTGCTGCGAGTTCAACATAGTACAGGGTTTGCTGCTCCTTTGCCGTACTGGAGACTATTCATCCTGACAGATGAAGCGAATGACCTGCGCTTTACCGCAGTCTATGTGTTCCACCATGCGATTGGGGACGGGACTTCAGGGAAGGCATTTCATCAGACGTTCTTGGATGCATTGCACGCTGCTGCTACTTTCATGACCCCAGGCGAGGTTAAACAAGTCATTCAGTCGCCCACATCACCTCTGCTGCCAAATCTGGAGGCGCTTCATCCATGTCCTACGACCATACCTTTTCTTCTTAATGCTCTTTTCAGAGCGAAAGTATGGTCTCATCGCGATCCACGCCTCTGGACAGGCGCCAAAATTTCTGCCCCAGTCAAGACCGAGTTAAGCCAAATCATCATCCCCGCAGCTGTGTCTGCAGCTTTCAGAAAGAACTGTCGTCAAAACAATGCAACTGTCACCGCTGCTTTGCAGGCAGCAGTTGCCCGCGCTCTTCTCACCCACTTGCCAGTGAGGTATACCAAAGTTCAAATGAACGGCGCCATCTCATGTCGAAGGTGGCTGAAGGGAGGAGAAATTACAGATCAGTCTATGGGCGTTTGGGTCATGGACTTTGCGGAAAGCTTCTATCGGAACGAGGTGAATCAATATCCCGACACTTTCCCATGGGATCAAGCCAGGAAGTCTCGTACGACCATCGAACAGGCACTGGGTCGCGAAGGAAAAAATGCTGGCACATGCTTGCTCAAACATATAGATAACTTTCAGGACCTCTTCCGGGGAAAGATTGGCAAAGACCGTGATGAAAGCTTTGAAGTTTCCAATGTGGGTGTCTTGCAGTCCAAACAGGAAGAAGATCCGTCGCGGCCGCAGACCACACGGGCGATGTTCTCCCAGACACCCAGTGCTTTGGGTGCAGCTTTGGAGGTCTCGTCAATCACCGGTGGTGATGGCTGTCTGGTTTTGGGGATCACATGGCAGACAGGCGTCGTGGAGCCAGAGCTCGTCAATGCAGTTATTGACACGCTAGTGAAGGAGCTACACGATGCTGCACTCTGATTTGCATAATCACGTCTTCCCACAGCTGCGTCTCTCTCACCTTGTATCCGGAGACCCCAGACGTCTTATTCAATTACGAACATCATTATCCTTTGACCTCTTCCATGTTTGATATCTATATTTCTAGTATCTTTGGCTATATGATAGATCTAATATATAAGCAGTGACGCACCCTGTTGTAGCACTTTGGCTCTTCAATAATAGGGTTACGGAACTACCGCTTGGGAGTATAGAGATAACATGCAGGCTGCAAGGACTGTAAATATTGACAACTGCCTATCACTGGTTGGAAGTAGGTAAATCTGGGACAGAGACACGAGGCTCTTTAGACTCGAAGTGTCCACCAACATACTATTCGTGCTTCATGCCTCTTTAGTAGCGAAGTGTGAGTAGTGCACACACTCGATTCATTAGCGCTTGAGCCTCGGTTGCTCGTAAGCTACACAAGTATGGGGCGGGATACTTTTTCGCGGCTCTCTCCCTTCATCTTGGGTCAGCTTCGGCCTCTCCGCTGCGTATAGACTTCGGTTTTTGTCTAGGTACTACCCGCATCAAACATATATCAGCCACAGTGGTCGATGGTTTACTAAATTACCGAAGCACAAATTTGTGGGTCCAGGTTTAAGGTATGTCTCGTATCAATTATCTTGATCTGTGGATTTGGATGGTCAGTCATTGAAGATATGTACTGATTCCTATGACGAGTCCGGTGCGAAATCGTGATAAATTTGTCAGCTCGTCTATAGGGGACTCCCTATTGCAAACAGTTCGAATGGTAATCTAACTGAATTGATACATCTGTGATTTGTTGTAATAGCAGCTCAACTAGGAAAATATTGTCGGCGGCAACCGCACTCGTACGAAGTCACGCGTCCCACCCCTTATGATCAGATTTATAAGACCAGCTCACAATCACATTGGCCATGTCGCGTCATTCATGTTCCACTCAGTTCCCCAGGTCCCTCATAACTGATACACCGCGATATGATGGAAGTCGTACAAAAGAACGAGGCCTTTAGAAAGATCGAAGGGAAGATGAATTTGCCTATGTCGAGTGTTTCGTCCGGCAAGACGGCATACTATATTCTGGAAAATGGACGAATCGATTTGAATCGCCGAAAACACTTCATGATCTCGATGAGGTCAAGCAGATCCCAACGGCGGATAGGGGCCCAGAGGTGAAAGCCACCTGGTCAGCAGTCTACGTGAGAACCCCAAGTCTACTGGCGTATGTCAATGGAGACCTGGAAAAGCAAATCGCCCACGAAGTCGAAGCATGCGAAATTCTTCGCAAACATCCCCATCCGAATATTGCGACTTATTATGGTTTGATGGAGACTAACGGCCGAGTTTCTGGGCTTTGCTTCCAGCGATATACGTCCACGCTACTTGAAGCGGTCAATCCTCAGCGACTCAACAAGATCGCTTTCCTTTCGAGTGCTCGTGAGCTGGTGGGAGAGAAAATGAAGGAAGGTCTAGAAGGGATTATGTCTGCCATTAATCATATTCATTCGTTCGGACTTGGGCATAATGACATTAACCCGGCAAACATTATGATTGATGAGAAGGGTACACTTATTCTTATCGATTTTGATAGTTGTCGGTTTATCGGGGAGTCGTTGAGAGACACCAAAGTGAAAAGAACACACCAATGGCATGACCCTTCTGTCAATGTTGCGCTGGAGAAGAATGACCTTGACGCGTTCAGAGATTTACGAATTTGGCTGGCTGGATCGGCGGATGAAGACTTTCTGTTTTAAACGAAGCGCTTTCTGATACTACTATTTCTTGAGAATATGCTTACATAGTGCTGTTGTCTGTAATAGTTTCACAATCATAAGACGAATATATGTAGTGGCTTAGTGGGTTCAGAGAGGAATATCTGGGAATAATCATTTCGGCCAAGGGGACACCAGGAATCATAAATCTATTCTAAGCCAAGAAAAAATTGCCATCTATCCGACACAACCAATACCGTAGTAAACAGCCAAACCCAACATAATAGATACAGGAAAGCCAAAGAGCGAAACCTATCAAACTCCCGGCGCAACCTCATCCCCATGAGGGACGCTATTAACCAAGCTCAGGAAGCAATTCCATCCTAAACAACCATCAGCTCTACCCAGCAACCATAGCAAACCTATACAAACGAAATATGCAAAGATACATACCAATATTTACCACGTTAACCGTCAACACACGATACTGCAACGGCACCAAAGCAAGGTTAAGCGTCTGAACCGCCGGCCAAAGCATCCAATTGGCGCGCAGGGCATCCCAGTACGTCCTACTGAGCTTGTCCTGAGGATCAACGCCCTCCATGACAGACATACTGGTGAGAAAGACACCAATCATAGTAGGAGCGCAGACGAGCTGGTCAGCACTAACGCGCGCAGCAAGAGTCTTGGTTGGTGTTGAAAGCTGGATGCGATTCTGGAGAAATTGGAACCATTTTGTGGCGACCGGGCCGAAAACAGCTATATTTTTGCTTTTGTTTAGAGAGAATGAAGGGGGGATGAGGGAACGGGGGCTGGGCTGGACTTACCACCCCCGTACAAAGCCATCCGTCCAGTTCGGGTTACATCATGATTGGGCAGGCCCTTCTTCTCGACGGCTTGCTGGGCGAGCCCGTCACCTACCGCGAAGAGGGTCTGGTGGATTTCTTTCTCAGCTCCGTTGAAAGAGTGTGATGAGGACAGATTGAAGCTTACCGCTGTGGTGAGGCTCTGCGTCAAGAGAGGACGCTGGATAAGACATCTCTGGTACCTGGGGGATTGGTATCGTTAATGCCGGGGGTGGTGATGGCAGTGGTGGTGATTGGGTGGGTGTTGTTCAAACTCACCAGGCGAGCATATTGAAGGAGACTCAATTGGTTCTTTCCTTGTGTCTAGTCAATGGATCAATGGGATGAAAATGAAGATGAGATCATGAAATTGGAAGTCTGTTTTGGTTCAATAATAGGGAGGAATGTCGGTCGCGTG